CCTTAGCCCAGCAACTGGCCGCGCAGGCGCTGGATGTCACCCTGCCCGGGCGCGGGCAATGCCCGGGTAGCCTGCACCCCATCACCCTGGCCTGGGAACGTATTGAACAAATCTTTAACAGCATGGGCTTTGATGTGGCCGATGGCCCTGAAATTGAAACCGATTGGTACAACTTCACCGCGCTGAACAACCCGCCCAACCACCCTGCCCGCTCGATGCAGGACACCTTTTACGTGGACATACAGGACGAACACGGCCAGCCTCTGGCCCTGCGCACGCACACCAGCCCCATGCAAATCCGCTACGCCCTGGCCCATGCGCAAAAGCTACTTACCGAGACCACCAAGGAAAAAGAAATCCGCATCATCGCCCCCGGACGCACCTATCGGGTCGACTCAGATGCCACGCACTCGCCCATGTTTCACCAATTCGAGGGCCTGTGGCTGGGCGATGCGGTCAGCTTCACCGATTTAAAATCCGTCTTCTTAAACTTTTGCACCGCTTTCTTTGAAACCGATGCCCTCACTCTGCGCTTTCGCCCCAGCTACTTCCCCTTTACGGAGCCCAGCGCCGAAATCGACATTCAATTCTCAAGCGGTCCTTTAGCTGGACGCTGGTTAGAGGTTGCAGGCTCCGGCCAAGTACACCCTATTGTCATACAAAACATGGGACTGGACCCCGAAAGCACCATTGGCTTTGCCTTTGGTACAGGCATAGATCGCCTGGCCATGCTACGCTATGGCGTGAGCGACTTGCGCCAATTCTTTGAAAACGATGTGCGTTTTTTGCAGGCTTTTGCATGATCTGAAAACAGCTCCATCGACGAAATCTCACACCCAAATAAAAAACTCTGGATTTAGAGAAAGAGCACGAGGCTACTCCTGCGCCTTTTTCAACAAAAAGCGCCAAGTAAAGCCCGGAAAAGCAAAAAGCACGAACAGGCAGGCCGTTGCCGCATAAAAAAAACCACCCTGCCAAACTACAGCGGCAACCTGAGACTCCATATAGAAGCCAAAAGCCAAAAACAAACCGTAGCAAAGCAAGAATTTAAGGATCAACGCCGTATTTTTAGCGCTATGTGGTCCAAAGAAAAAGAAAAGCCGCCGCCCAAAAAAGGGCAAATTGGCTAAAACAAAAGCCGAAATAAACACCGCAGCGACCGTAAAGCGCAAAGACATACGATGCTCCCGCGCTTAAAACCCGATAGAAAACCGTACGGCCTTGGCACAAACATCCAACAAAGCCTGCGGAAACATGCCCAACACCAACAAAGCCAACCCATTGAGCGTTAAAAGGCCCATCGCCTGCATGGACGGTTTGGCATAGCT